GGCCGCCATTCGAAACTATTAGTGCATACCAATGCATACTTCCCAGCAGTACGCGATCATCAGTGCGACACCAGTACTTGGCTGAATATGGCGGTTTTTGGGCCTCTTCCTTTCTTCTCCCGCGCCCGGTCAAGGCGCGGCCGCCTAAGGCGCCGGAGGCGCCGGAGGTGGCCGCCTACATGTAGTTTAATGTCAAGAACTGATTGATGCGTCAATTTTTACAGCCCTCCCTACAAATGAACCTACAAATAAATAAACGTGATGATGCTTCTGTGCCCCCCCCCCCCCCGTGCAAGCAGGAATGTGCGGTGTCATCCCTACAGCAGTAGTACCAGGCGCGGCCGCCGGAGGTGGCCGATGTTCAATCTTGTACTTCGACAACAACTGGTGTAGATTTATTTACTGTAGATAAGTAGTCTGGATATTAGACTCTTTCGGACTCGAATATGTTCCAAAATAAGGAAAAAAAAAATGATTTGAGCCATCGTTCTGAGGATCGTTCCTGACAGTCTCTCGCCAGAACCCAAGATAAGAAAAAATAAATATATTTAACAGCGGAGGGAGCCCCATTTTGTGGAAAATTGTTGACGTATTTCCGATTAGCAACATTCTTCGACATAACACATCAGGCACCACACCCACGCACACACAGCAGTCCGCGCGGCCAAAGAGAAGGTCAGCGCCGAGCGAAAAGACCCTGGAGTTGGTGCGGCACCAACAAGAGGGAGGCTGCACGGTCAGAAAGCCAAGTTGGGCTTGTTTGCGCGGCGTTAGGTCACACACAGGTTGAGGCAAGGGGGAAGAGGAGAGCGAGCGCCAGAACCGCGGAGACAGCGACAACCGATGACGTAGAGGTGGTGGCAGCACCACCAGCAAGAGGAGCAGACAGATAGCAGCAAGAGCACGCAGTGGCCTGCTGGTGTAGACGGGCGCGTCCTTCCCCGCGCAATATTATTCTCTGCTGGTTCTCTGCTAGCATAGAGAGGAGAGAGTTTGACTTAATGTGCCCCCGTCCCCAAAACCCCTCCTCTCCCGAACGCTTGATATGCGACACAGCAATTCGCGCAGAGGCTGCCGGCAAGTATAATTACTCCCTCCCTATCTACGTTCTGGTGCGATTTCGTGCACTCTGCTGGGGTTGAGGGGGGCGACACAGACACGCACACTCATTGCATGCACGCACACTCAATAGCAAGTGAGAGAGAGCGGTGTCAGCAGGGTTCACGCAGCGCACCCAAAAAAAGCAGTACCACCTGCGGGCAGGGGAAGTTCGTTGGGTGGGAGAGGAGAGCTGTTGCCCCTCAGCCAATCATATGAATGAAGCCGCTAAAATCTAAAAATATTTGCCTTCACGAAGTTTTCAGGAAAGTTTCTACTTCTAAATCTGCTTCCTTAAGGCGGATTCTTACGGCTTGATTTTTCGGAGATTTTTTTTTTTCTCTCGGTCGGGGGGGGGGGGGCCTGCATTGCAAATATTATCAAGATCCAAACGACCGTCTTCGGTTCCTCGAGGGATACTTTTTTCTGAAGGGAAAAAAGAGGCTGATTCATGTTCTTGTGAGTCACAACATGCTTCAGTACACGGTTTTGGCTCGTGTGCGACCAACAAGATACCGAGCGCCCTGGTTACGGGTCGCCTGCAGAGGGCATGTGTATCATCGCACGCCACTGGCTGCAGTTTGTGGATGTCGTCGACCAAAGGCCTCTCTCTGATGGCATGCGTTGTTCACTGATCACACTCGACTCGAAGCAAGCAGCGGAAAAAAAAGGCAACGTCCAAAAAAGTCAACACCGCAACACACTTTGGTTCACGTTTGCAGGCCGTGTGCAGTCAGAATCGGACAATACGCTCTGTTTCTGGGATGCGAGCAGAGGGTATGGGTATGACCACACGCCACTGGCTGCTGTTTGTGGATATCGTCGGCCAAAGGCCTCTCCCTGGCATGTGTTTTTGACTGGTCGCAGGTGACACACGGAGCAAACACGCGGCGGAACAAGAAAAAAAGACCAAAATGTCAACACCGCAACACACTTTGGTTCACGTTTGCAGGCCGTGTGCAATCAAAACTGAACAATACGCTCTGTTTCTGGTATGCGAGCAGAGGGTATGAGTATGACCACACGTCATTGGCTGCAGTTTGTGGGTGTCGACGGCTTAACCCTTTCGTGACTACACCCCCCAATCGTGCATGTTAGCATGCACGATAACTCTTATATGCGACAATTTTCGAACCGAATTGAGCTGTGGATACCTGCATCGACGACCGCTCGACGGTACGACTAGACCGCTCGAAAAGAAACAAAGTAACGACCGCGATGAGAACCAGCTCGTCCCACACAACTTGGGGAGCATTCACTGGATGCCACTCAGCCGCTTTGACCTCCCAGAACTGAGCAATTTCCTCTGGGTCCATGGTGGTGATGTTGGTACTGTGTTGCTGTTGTGCTGGCAGGCTGTGGCAGGAGTGACAAAGTGTCAAAAAGAGACACCCGCCCCCGTGCCTTCGCGTTTTTGAGAGGGTTTTCGTGACTTCAGGGACGATAGCATGCATGATAAAACCTGTCTTTATCTGGTACGAAAAATCATGCTCTCGCTGTTGAGTTGTGTGCCCTCTTCCTTGCCTTCGGAATGTGGTTGCAGAACTGAAGGCCAAGCTTACGAGGCCTCTCCCCGAGTTCTCCTGCGCGAGTGTGCGTTCGAGTGTTTTCCTTGTCCGTCTTCAACCAACTGCCACCACAAGGCATAGTCTATCTCTCGCGCGGCTCGTGCTTGCTGCTGCTGCTGCTGCCGCGGGCTGCTGCTGCTGCTGCTGCCGCTTTTTCATTTCGTTTCGCATGCATGCATCCCAACAAACCGTACGTGCGTGTGTGCTTCTTGTCTCCAAAGGATTTCCCACCCAACCAAGTGGCATTGGAGGCGGTGCCACATGCCTTGCGCCAGTGTGCTGCATCGGCGGCGGGGTAGCGTGACATGTAGAACTGCTGTGCATGCGATGTATGTCTACTGCTGCTGCTGTATCCATGTATGCCATCATCATGTGATAATCGTGTTTGGGGTAAAGAAATACGGCGCCCTCTCCTCTCTCTCCTCCGGTTTCCAACAGCACCTACAACAGCAGTACAGCAGTGTAGTTATCGGTCACCCATCACAGTCTTCACGTGAGGGTTACGCTGCTGTTGGGCACTAAACCTTTGTGGCACCACGGGGTGCGTGCGGTTGACCTGTGTGGGAACCTGTTGGTGCGCAAACGTGCAAACGTTCAAGTTTGTGTGTCGTGTGTGTCTCATGACTCATCGGTCTATTCGATCCTGGCAGAACAAAAAAAAACCGGGGAAGATCCAGAAAGAACCCAGTCACGAAAGGGTTAAGGTCTCTCTCTGGCGTGCGTTCTGAACTGTTCACACATGCAGCAGGCACAAAAACGGCTCTTTTCGGCCCAAAGGCAAGAACGTCAGCAGAGCAATGTGGCAGGATTGACGTTTTCGGCTCGTGTGCGGCCAACACGACGCAGAACACCCTGAATTTTAGATACCTGCAGAGGACTTGTGCATGGCCTCATGATACTGGCCTCTGTTTGGCCAGCAAACGGTGTAGTTCCTCGTTCTGGCACGATCAGGGTGTGACCAGGGGGTACCACCCCCCATTTCTAACAGCGATATTCCAACAGGATCGCTGTTAGAAAATGGACCAACTTTCTGACAGGACCGCCGGAATTCTTGGAAATATTCGGGCTGTGATAATATTAATTTGGGCTGTTGGACAATGCCATTTCCCTCCGCGTAATAAGCAGCCCAAATTATTTTTTGGGCTAAGAAAAGTACCCCCCCCCAAATCCAACACCCGAAAAAATCACAGGTAAAGAAACTGCCTAAATGGAACAGTTTGGAGCCCCAGTCCGGATTTGCGTATTGACAACCAATGACCTACATCATCACCATATTATGCTATCATCACCAAGTCATCACCACCTCTTTCCGTTTTGAAGATGGACTACTGGATGGGGTGTGTACGACGTTACTATTATATAGAGGCCCGCCATACCTTCACGTCACTGATGATGAGAAAGATAGCAAGGCAAATCATAGATACCACATCATCAATCGACAAAACAATAAACTGGGACCGGCCCGCAGACCTCCTCTGCGGGCAATGCTATGTCGACAGCAGTACACTAAGTAGTTGTTGTTGTTGTTGTTGACTTGACACTAAACCGTATGCCAGTTGCTAAATGCCAAAATCTAGCGAAGACTCTCGGCCCGTGGTCACGAAAGTGCTAGAGCCATCTGAGGATCTAAAGAACACGCACACGTAGCAAGAAAAAGGTGTACAAGAGCCCGAAGAGGTACTACTACAACTATATATAATCCTTGCAGCACCGTACGCGTGCCCAAAACTGAACTACACGTCCGTCTCACCATTCGACTACAGCAATGCTGCATACGAAAAGACGTGCTGCCGTTGTCAGAAAGAGCGAGTGTTTATAAGTTTGTAGAAAGAACTTTTAGTCGACGTGGTGACAAAATTGAATTAATAACAATTATCTTGATTCGTTCCCTCGGGCGCAAGGTCAGCAGCTGCGGCATAGAAAACAGCGCACAAAGAGGCGGGAGACACAAAGACTCCGCGTGTACAACAGAAAACAGAGAGTCAGTGGTGTGTTGGTGTGCTAACAGGAGAGAGACAGGAGAGACAGGAGAGACAGGAGAGGCAGTAGAGGCAGGTAGGAAGGAGGAGAGTAAGCGGGAAGACCCGCCGCATCCCTTTGCCCGTCTTTCTTTCGCATTTCGCCTCCGCCTCCCTAGCCGAACACCGCTTGAACGGCAACAAATCCCTACTTTCATGTGTCTTCTTCTCGCTCGATGCACATGCGGACATTGCGACACACAAGGCAGGTACTGCTGTACTGCTGTACGCTTGCTCTCACGCTTGCATTGGCAATCAAAATCATGGCCTTTTGGTGTGCTCCATCTACACAAGTCCAGACACATACCTGCACGCTGACAGATGGGGAAACGGGAATCCGTTCATGCTAGAAAGGACCTCCGGCCAGGTTGATGGATGACCTCTGTCCATGGTTCCGTTCCACAATGCTGATGGATGTGCTTTGTTTGCGCTGGCCTGCGGTCTGTGTGCTACCTAGTCAATGCACAAGATGCCAACAAGCAACAACAGCAGCAAGACCCGGCGGGCGGGACGGGATGGGTACATGGGCAAGTAGTACAGTATCCCACCCTGTTATTGTCAGCGGTGCCCCCGATCATTTGCCAACCGCTTGCTCACCGCTTGCTAGACATCTTTCAAACTCCGATTCCCGCTTCCCGCATGCGGGTTAGCACGTGAAAATCCAGAAATATGCGGGAATTCCCGCCTCACGAGTTTGAAAGCGGTAGCGGGCTGTTCGTTATATTCCCGCGGGAATCCCGTCGCCCTGGCGTGTAAAGAGTCAATTCCTGCATGATTTCATATGGGGCTTTCGAGCCCCATATGAGGGAATTCCCGCATCACAACTTTGGAGTGCAGACAGGAACCAAACGCGCCGCTTTTCTAAGCAAACAGCAGAACACCTCGCGAGGTGAGAGCCACAACCCACATCCCACACAGCAGCCGTGTGCACGCTTCACAGCTACGAGCTACACACCGCTAAGATGAGCAACCTCGGCAACGACACGGCGCACCCTGTGCAGCACGGCGGCGTTCAAGGACAACAGACGGCGCTCGTGCTTGGTGCGCACCCCAGCATGAACGTGCCTGCATACCCCAAGACGGCAACACCTGGCGGATTTTACCATCCGCAGCATCATGCGCAGCCCTACGCCACCGCCAACGGCACGGTATGGGGTTCGGGCCGTGACCCACGGACTGCCGGAGCTATGGCTCCTCCGGCAGGTCTCCCTGGCATATGTGGGGTTTCCGGTGTTGTGAGCGCCGCGGCATCCGCCGCTCAAGCTGCTTGGCTAGGAAGTCAATCGGGGCGTGCTTCGGAGGCCCTTCCAACGGCGAAGCGCACGCACGACGGGCAGCTTGTTCAGCACGCCCGCAGCCATGCAGGATGGGCCCAAGCACAGGGTTGTCCCCGAGACGGGGCGCCCCCTCCTCACTCAGCGCCTTCCCCCGGCCCTCTCACCGGCGCAGCAGCGAGTTCCACCCCTGTTGCAACCTCTAACGACAGCGGCGTGCCTCATCATGCGCCCCCTCCTCACTCAGCGCCTTCCCCCGGCCCTCTCACCGGCGCAGCAGCGAGTTCCACCCCTGTTGCAACCTCTAACGACAGCGGCGTGCCTCATCAACCAGCTTCTTCTCCCCGAGGGGCGGCCGCCGCCGGCGCGCCTCCAACGGACCTCACCGGCAGCTTGGTGGATCCTCCTCGCTCGGCTTTTCTCCCAGGCCCTCCCTCCAGCGCGGCGATTGCAGGACCGGCTACAACCGACCTCGCCGGGTTGGGAGAGCCTCTGGCTGGATCGGGGGATGCAAAAGGAGTTGAGGGCGCCGCCGGCGGTGCTGTGCAGCTGTTGGCCGTTGCTTCCAATACGGCGGTCGCGGCAGCCGCGGGGAAGGAAAACGTGCACACCCCGCCGAAAAAAGGCGGACAGAACTACAACGGTCTGTACCTGAGTCTGCTGCTGGAGGCCCTCCTCGATGCTTGCAAGACCAGGGACGATGGGAAGTGGAGGATGAAGACGACATGCTCGACGAATTGGGGAGAGCAGAAGGCCATAGCGGATGCCGTGTTCGAGAAGTGGCAGAAGGCCAGCCTGGATGAGCGCATGCGCTATGGGGGAAGATCCGATTCGACATTGGAGTATGGGAAGGGAGCGCAAGCTAACTTCCTCACGAGCAAGAAGCACCAGTACCGGAAGTGGGCGAACCAACCCGCGGAAGCACGGTGAGTTCGCGTGTCTTTATTTTTGGCATCGACGGCGGTGTGCATGAGAAGTGTTTTTGTGGGTGTATCATGTCATGGATTAATTTTTAGCATTTTGTTCCTCGTGCTCCTCACAAATAGGCAAAGCGAAGCGTTTAACGCCTACACAAGTTGGGTACGAAAGG